TGACACTTTTAACTTCTTACCTATTAGAATTGAAGAAAATAGCCCTCACTTTATAATATTTCATTAGTTTTGTTAACTGATTGTTAATTCTATTAGCTGACTGTTAACTATGTTAACTGTTTAGAGTTTAGAGTTTAAGGTTTTTGCCAGCTAATAGTTAACTAACAAAATAATTCTGTTAACTAACTGTTAACTCTATTGGCTGAAACCTATAAATCTAATAAGATAAAAGACTAAAAGTAAGTTTTTGCTTAATTTTGTTAGCTCCATTAACTTTTTGCTGCTTTCTAAGTCCTAACGTCACATTTTACCTAATTTTTTAAGCTACTGTGGTCCTCAAATAAATAAATGAAAAAAGAACCTAATCTCCCATCTACTCTTTTTTTTTTTTTTTTTAATTTCTTGAAACTCAATGATATATTTTCTTTTTAAGTAATGATATAATATCATTTTGCTACTAATTAATAATAATTATTATTATCTAATTATTAACTTTTTTTATATTAATCTTTCGATATTTAATAAACATATTGAATTTTAACTAATTCAAAATTAATTTGCATCAGATTCCATAAGAGAAAAACTCTTACAGTACTATTTCTTTATTCACAATACTTGAATTTAAAATTTTATTTAGGAGAAATCAAATTTCTTATATTCAGAATTATTAACTTTTTATTAATAATTAATTATTAAACATTTAATTAAATTTTTTTTTTTTATTTCACGGACACGGGCATAGCCCGGGGTGTTAACTAGTAAAATCTAAAATCTAAACACTAGACTGAGGCCTCCCTCACTCTGTAGGCAGTAGCATTAGCTTCGAAGGTCGTCTTTCCTTGATAATTTCGCTTCCATCCAACTTATAAAGCCATGCCATCCAACTTATAGAGCCATCCAACTTATAGAGCTGCTCTCTCGCCAGAGATCCGACCGATGGCGTTCTGGTGGACGTTGATCGTTCTCGCATTCGCTTTCGCGATCTGTCGTTTCCTGTTGATGCTCATTCCTCCGAATGTTCCTTCGATCGACATCGACGCCTCTGATGGTAGGCAATCTGTATGCATTTGTGTTGTTATTTAAGTTTTTTAATTGAGTGTTCGGAAGTTGCATGTTGAGTTGAGGATTTATGCCCGAGGATTTGAATTTGTTGCAGAGTTGGATGACGGAAGCCAAACGCAAGAGAGCGGCTTCATCTATGTGAGTTTTTCTTCACTAATTTGCTGGTTCTGTTTTGATTTAGATTTGTTACCACATTTTGTTCCTTTTTTTGGTCTGCATAAGTTGGTCCTTCTGTAGTTTTCCTTTGCTCGAGCTTGGAGATTCTTCCTTTTCAAGTGGAATCTCATCTTACCGATCGTAGATGCTAGAAGAATGTAGAAGTTAGATGTATTATTGATTATAAATGAAAATGTTGACTGCTTGTTAATTTCAGTTAAATAATTCAATGAATTTGTATTTTTCTATTTTCTTTTTGTTTAGAGGACAAAACTTTTGCTTGATTTTTAGATCTTTTTAAAGTCTGTTTGGGGTTCTCAGTTAGATATAGTTTCTTGCTTGGGCTGTTTGCTTCAAATGTTCAAATTTGTGATTATAGAAATATGTATATATTTATCAAAATGATATAGAAGAAGAGAATTTTCAAAATACCGACGGGTAGATGTCTCTAGCACTGTGGCAAAGACTTCTACTTTTAATTTTTCAAGAAACAATTACTTGATACTTATTATTTTTCTGGTAAGCAAAAAAAAAAGAAAAAAGAAAAAGAAATTCGTGCTAATTAAAAATCATTACTAAATAACTTAAGTTGCTCTAACATGTCTTAAGAAAAGGTTGAAGCCTTAATGAGCATCAAAAGCAAAAGATATTAATCTAAATGTTCTATTGCTATTGATCAACTATGCAGATACCTCCAAAGGGAAGGACACAGCAGGCTGACAGAAAGGTTAAATGCTATGAGGCTGCTACTAAGAATTATTTGGGATGTTTTCCAGCATTGACACCTGCAGAGGTTGGAATGTTCTCAATTTCTCTACTTTAATCTCAATGCTGTATTTTATTTTTTGACTAATCTTATTCTTATTTACACTCTAAATGGGTAAATGTACTAACGTGCTTTGAACCTTAACTGCACATGTACAATCCTATAGGCATATTCACGTATTTGAGTGTCTCTTTGTGAATTTTCTTGCTGCTCATCCTGGCATCTTGAATGTGTATCCTTAGGTCAAGGACCGTGTAGCACAAGCAAGGAGAGCACAGAAAGTTTGGGCAAAAAGTAGCTTCAAGCAAAGACGCCAGTTTTTGCGTATACTTTTGAAATATATTATTGAACACCAAAAGCTTATATGCGAGTAAGGCTTCTATTATTTTATGGGTGGAATGGAAAACATTCCTGCCAATCTTTTCTTCCCTTTTCTGGTGACAGCTTAAATGTGTTTTTCTAATGCTTGAAAAACTTATATAAACTTCATATGAAATATGGGTCTTCTCAATGGTTCTACCAACAAGAGCTTGGGCAACTCGGCACCCACCAACTTCAAAACTTTGATTCTGGGGGTCAAGGTTGGGGATTCAAAATCCCCATAATAACCAAGCACAAACTTCCTTTTCCAATAGTAAAAAAGTGCATATTTTCCTCTTTGTCCTGCATATTTTCTCCCTTGTAATTAGTGTATAAGTTGCATGCCATTCATTAGTTCAAGCATCATTGAAACATGGTGGGGTACAATATCTTACTGCTTCCTTTCCAATATTTTTCCTTCTTTACTTTTCCTTTCTATCTCCTGGGTGACTTCTACTTAGATGTATGTTTCATGAACCTTTTGATCATAGAAGATTAGTTAAACATTGTTTTATGCTGTAATTGGCTTATGATTTTGCTTAGAATCTCTTCCCGTGATACTGGAAAGACAATGGTTGATGCTTCTTTGGGAGAAATAATGACAACATGTGAGAAGATAACATGGCTTCTTTCAGAGGGTGAACGATGGCTCAAGCCTGAATACCGGTACCTTTTTCCAGCATTTGACTATTATTTTTCCTTTCTAGTGTAATTTTTGCTGTATACGGAAAAAATATTAGCTGGAGACCTGGAGTCCTACATATATCTTGCTTTCTAATCATAGAGTCACTGCATTGCAACCCTATTGCCATTATACTTGCCCAAGGTCAACCATGTGAATGGAGTTCTTAATTTCTTGGCTTCTTTTTGAACCGTACTTTTCTTCATTATCTTTGTGTTAGAATAACTGAAAATGCATGCCTTATCTGTTATCAGACGTTGCAATGCTATCATTCCTAAATTCTAAAGGTTTTTATTGAAGTAATTTGCACGAATTTGGGAATTGGAAAAAAAAAATTTTATTAAGAGATTTAAATACTATTTTGATTCCTCAATTTTCCATTTTGATACTAAAATTATTTTTTAACTTTAAAAAATATCAAAATTATTCTTAAACCAGTTAAATAGCCAGATAACACCTTAACTTGTCACCAAATTATTTTTTTTTTAAACATGGAAAAAAAAACATAATTGATTTTTTTTTATAAGTTGACATTTTTATTTTAAAAATTTAAAAATAATGAGAACAGTTTTTTTTCATCCACTCATCTCTTCTTCCTCGATCACTTCCTGTCTTCTTTCCCTTTCATTTTCCCTTTACTTTGCAAACCCAGATCTGGGTTCTCTCTCAAACTTCATCTTCTTCTTATTCTTTCTCTCTCTCTCTCTTCTCCCTTCTTCTTCCTTTCTCAAACCCAGATCTGGGTTTCATCATATAAATTAACCCAGATCCCCATTCCAAACACTGAAAAGTAATCGCGAGAAACACATAAAATATCACTGTAACTTCCATAATTATCTCACATCTCCAAATCCAAATAAGAAATCAGAAACAAATCACTGTACTCGACGTACCAAACCCAGTAAACTCACGGCAATATCTCCAATAAACCGGCTCCAACTCAACTAAAATTCGTTCAAATCAGCACAAAGAGGATCCAAAAGTAAATCGAAGACACCGGATACAAATTAGAGCGAAAACACACCTTATTCTCTGCCAGTTATCAGGAGACGTATGCTTGCATCGACTTCGCTCCGATTCCGAACGGCGATTCAAGAAAACGGCATCATCGAAAAGGGCTTCCGGCGACGAAGAAGAAGAAGACACGGTACAAGATTTGGAGTTTACAGAGCAGAATCTGAGTGCGATGTTTGAGAAAAACCCAGGTTTCGCCATAGGTAAGCGATGTCGGTCTCCAGGAGGAAGAATTTGTAGTACTTTGCGGAGGAAGCCTGGAGGAGGAATTCCTTGACTTTGTCGATTCGGGATAACAGGGAGGGACCTACAACAATACTAACCTTATACAGAAGGTGAAAATTTTCACAAATTTGTATAGAAGATGAACATGACACGACTAAGAAAAACCCAGATCGGGGTTTGAGAGAGGAAGAAGAAGGGAGAAGAGAGAGAATAAGAAGAAGAAAGAAGAAGGATGAGCAGGGAGGAGTAAAGGAGGAAGAAGATGAAGTTTGAGAGAGAACCCAGATCAAAGTCTGCAAGGTAAGGGAAAGGAAGGGTGAAGGAGAGAGAGTGAAAGAGGAAGAAGAGATGACGTGGATAAAAAAAATAATATCATTATTTATAAATTAAATAAAAATATCAACCCACACTAAAAAAAGGATGATCAATTATGTATTTTTTTATGTCATTAGTTAAAAAATAAAAAAATGATTTTTGACGAGTGTACGTGTCACCTGTCCATTTAATCGATGAAGAACCATTTTGATACGAAAACTAGAGTTTAAAAATAATTTTGATACTTTTTAAAGTTAAAGGATAATTATAACATCAAAATGAAAAGTTCAGGGACCAAAATGACATTTAAACCTTATTGAGAAAAATCATATTTTGGTAACATAACTAATTTCAATATTTGCAGATCGTCAGGAAGACCAATGCTTCACAAGAGGTCCAAAGTGGAGTTCCACCCTCTAGGTGTCATTGGGGCAATTGTTTCATGGAATTACTCTTTCCACAATATTTTTAACCCAATGCTTGCTGCAGTCTTTTCTGGCAATGGTATTGTGATCAAGGTAGTTAATGTTGAAATGCAGGTTTCCTGTGTTGTGTTTGACCCTTTTGGCCTTTATCTTTGTGCGTTCAAAGCTGCATCTTTTTCCATGATTCTAATTTCCATTATTAGTTATTGGCTTTCAATTTCGTTGTATCTTGGGTTTCTTTGTCAATATGCCCTCCTTCCTGTTACCAATGAATTACTTTTGCTGCTGCACATAATGCTAAGTACGTCAATAATACTTATTTAATCTCCTGACTGATTTCTAGAGATCAAGGGAGTTCATTGAGATAAAAATGATCTCTATGGGTATATATTTTGAATTAAATCTTTAAGATGATATGAAAACTATATTCTTGTGAGTATAGGTTTCAGAAAATGCAAGCTGGTCTGGATGTTTCTACTTCCGAATAATCCAAACAGCCCTTGTTGCCATTGGGGCTCCGGAAAATCTGGTCGAGGTAATTACAGGGTATGTTTTTTTCCCTTGTTTTTTAAACTTGCTACAATTTTTTTTGTTTATTTTGAAAAAGCTGTGCACTCTAGACTGCTGCAGACTGCACAACTTTAACAATTGGATAGGAGGGGAGCCCTCTGATATTGGGGGTTCCATCCCCCATCCAATGGTTCTTGTTTTGCAGTCTGGGGCAGTCCAGACTGCAAAAACTCTATTTATTTATCATTAATCAGACTTCTTTTCCCTTCCATACAGGTTTGGTGAAACAGGAGAAGCACTTGTTTCTGCTGTTGATAAAATCATATTTGTTGGATCACCAGGTGTGGGCAAGATGGTATGAAGTTGTCTTGGCTTCCTGAACTGGACTAATTACACAGCAAGCTCTTAGTTGCATGTAGTTGAGTTTCCATTTTATTTACAATTGTCTGCAATAGCTCATGTTATTTTATGGGAATGCCTTAAGTATTTAGGATCTTTTATAAAGTATAACTTCTAAAGTCTGCTCCTTTTTGTTCTGTTCACAGTTGTGGAAAACAGAATTTAGGCGGTGATTAATTCTTTTATTTGTCCATCTCTTGTGGAATTTCTAGAAGAAATCTTGTCTCAAAGAAGTACCTTATAAAATGTGGTTTTATAACGATAGAACTTTTGTGCATTGCCACGTGCTAATAGATATTGTTTGCCTTATTGTTGTAGATAATGAGAAATGCTTCAGAGACTCTTATACCAGTTACACTTGAGCTTGGCGGCAAAGATGCATTTATCGTATGTGAAGATGTGGACATTGCTCATGTATGAATCCCTCCACTTTCTGCAATTTCTGATGCGATTGCAGATGTCTTTGCCGTTCCTAAATTCCATCTTTGGTGCCATTGATATTTGATAATACTATCATGATATAGGTTGCACAAATTGCTGTTAGAGCTGCTTTGCAATCAAGTGGACAAAATTGTGCTGGACCTGAAAGGATTTATGTTCACAAGGACATTTATCCTTCATTTGTTAGTCAAGTGAAAAAAATTGTAAAGTCTGTTTCAGCTGTAAGTACAAACTTTCTGATATATTCTAGTGTCAACATTTATTCTTTCTTGTTGTGGCCTTATCTCCAAAGTATTGAATCTAAACATTTACTAGGTGCAACTGGTCATTTAGCTGTTTACTGATAAATCATGAGTAACACTCTCAACTTCTCTCGAGGTCTACAGCATTTTTATTGTCTTCTGAAATGTAACTGTAGTTCACTTGTTGAATGAATTCTTCTCTACATGTAAATTATAAACGTTGAAAACAATAGAAAAGATCAAGTTTGACATCTTGTTCATTTAGTGGCCCCATTTGTGAACTACTGCTCTTACTATATACTGAACTGCATCAAACATGGTTATATTTTACAGTAAACCAGGATTCTGTGGAATCATGTTAGAAATATGACATTTTGCAGGGTCCACCGCTTGCTGGGAGATATGACATGGGTGCCATATGCTTGCAAAATCATTCTGAGAAGCTTCAGAACCTTGTTAATGATGCCTTAGAGAAAGGAGCTGAAATTATAGCCCGTGGAAGAATTGGTCGTTTAGGTGAAGGTGCAGAGGATCAATTTTTCCCACCCACTGTGCTTGTAAATGTAAACCATACCATGAAGTTGATGCAAGAAGAGGTAGCTAAGTCATTCCTTTTTTCCTTTCTTCCTCATAGGATTTTGGACCAGCATTTCATTCTCTACTTTAGAGCATTAGTTTGAAAAACATGATCTCAACTTTTTGAAAACTTCTGACCAAAAAAGAAAAAACTTCTTTCATAGTTCCAGTGCAATAACTTTGTTAAGGTGACATTCTTTTCAATTTATAGGAATAAATTAAGGTAGAAAGACATCTCTTTGACCATTTTCATGGATCAGTTAAGCTCTTGCAAATTTGTCATGATGCAGACTTTTGGACCAATCATGCCCATTATGAAATTCAGCAGTGATGAAGAGGTTGTCGAGCTTGCAAATGATTCAAGATATGGGCTTGGCTGTTCTGTTTTCTCTGGAAGTCAGCAGCGTGCCAGAGAGATAGCTTCCCAGATACATTGTGGAATTGCTGCAATTAATGATTTTGGATCAACCTACATGTCCCAGGTACTTTCTTTCTTTTTTTTTTCCTCACAGTGCTAGGTACGTGATATCATCTTCTGGGTTGGAGTTATATTGTGTGTGAAGATAAAATGTTTATCAAATTATTATTATTATTGCCTAAACATTTATACTTAAAAATTCATTTCTTATTACCTTTCCTTTTCAAAAAAAGAAAAAATGAAAAGGGAAAGCACCAGTGGTGCTAACCAGTACTCCGTCTTTCATCCGTTATTGCAAGAACATTAGAACACTGGCTGATGCTCCATGCACACACAATCTTAGTGGTTTAACCACCAAACCCTGAAGCTGATGAAATCTTGTATTCTCATTAGTTTTTGCTTCCCTGCTATACTGAAAATGTCTAATCTTCGTTCCAGTCCCTGCCATTCGGTGGTGTAAAAGATAGTGGGTTTGGACGATTTGCTGGTATAGAGGGATTGCGAGCTTGCTGTCTTGTTAAGTCAGTTGTTGAGGATAGATGGTGGCCTTATGTCAAAACGATAATACCAAAGCCTCTTCAGGTCAGCTTTGTAACTTCTACATTACTAAACTGTTGTGATACTGTAACGTACTAACTAATGATTTTTGCGCCAACAGTATCCCATTGCAGAGAACGGCTTCGAGTTCCTAGAGTCACTTTTAGAGGCACTTTATGGTTTGAACATATGGGACCGGCTGCGAGCTCTAGTCAATGTTTTAAAGATCCTTTCAGATAAAAATTCTTCTGCCAGTGGTAATAGAAGAATTGAATGAGCCGAAGAATGGGCTAAAAATAAGACGCACATCACCTGTAGTTGAAGCCTTGTCAGAGCATGTTAAGGACTTTGTTGCATTGACTTTCACTACCAATTTCCACCCTTACAATGTTGTACTACCACTGTTTGAGACTACGTTTTCCACCTCTAATAATACATGCTAAACAATTAATAATTGCTTTAATAGTCTCCCACCTCTAATGATACAAGCTAAACAATTGATAATTGCTTTAGTCAATGGGCTGCTAAAAGACAACTTTTTCACATTTTTCATTGACCGAAATAAAAATGGAAGGAAATGACTTTTCAGGTTGCATAATTCTAAACTGCATGAAAACTGCAACAAATTACAATGCATTTGGGAGATAAAGAAACCGCGGATGGAAGATACTGACCGTAATTACTGATCTTTACTTCCCGTTGGGCCTATTATCCTCCAGAGAAGTTATCAAATATATCTCATTTTGCATGTTCAATTCTTCGGAAAACCTTTAGATTCGTGCTGAAAAAACTGCTGAGCCTCATGCTGACCTTCAAATCCTTGCTACCATTTCCGGTTTGATTCCAAGGCGCTTGATTTTACCCTTGTTTGAATACAAACATAATTAATCACACTTGATTGCACGGGAAATCTCCCAGGAAACTCCGTCGATCTCTTGCATTAGATTGTCATTGGATCGATAGCCCTGCTTCTCGCAGTTCACTAATGCAACAGTGAATCTCTCATTCCCTAATGAATAAGGGTACATGATTTGCTCATCCTGCAAAGTGGATAACTGATTAAAATTTCAAACCACCAAAAGCAGCTTGTTTACTAGAATATAAATGTCATAAAATAAAACAAACAAGGGCATAAGAGAATGATAAAGGATTCTTGACAACTTTATCCTAGGCACATTCCCATATTTCTTGTCAATGATGAAGCATGTGAAGCAAGCTTCAGATAGGATTCCGGCCTATTTTCAATAGTGTGCGGCATTTACATAACGAACAAAACAATGCTAGATTGAATTCATGTATGTTTATGATATTCTACTACTTTTCAATTATTTTCTTTCTAAAATAAGATGACAGACTTCAGGCATTACCTCAGTCGGCCCATAAAATTCATCAGGTGGAATTTGCAGCAACTCCAAGGCCGTTTGACCAGTACACCATGCAAAAAGGTTTCCATTTTCATCCTTGTTTTTAGCCTGACTTCCTTTTTCATCTGCAAGAGTGATTTTCAAGTGAAAAGAACGCATGAGTTCAGCATTGCAGCTACAAAGACAGAAACTGCACTCAAGAACCCCACTAGGCATCTCTTTGACAAAGTGACCACAAAGAGCATGAGAAAATCTTGTGCTAACATGACAATGAGCAACTGGATCAAGCCTGATTTGACAAATCTGATAATATATTTAAGAAAAATGTTAGGAAATGCAAGATTATGATCGACAAGTGTATTGCATATTGTAACTAAGAACCTGTGGTTTTGAATGAAATTTCAAATCTGCCATGGCCATACAAGATGTATACCAATATTTTTTTGTTGGCCAAAAAAGAAAAATCATAAAATGAGAACTAAAGGAACTCAAACATGGGACAACAGAGCTTCTAATCTAACTCACAGCCATGTAAAGAGCTAAAACAACATACTTGAAAACTTAAGCACAAACAATAAGATAAAAAGATCACCATCCTCAAACACTCCTCAAACTCAGCTCATCCCATACAAGACGTGTACACCAATAATGACATAGATAAATTCAGCATATCTTGATACTTGATAAACTGTCAAAACCATTGATGTAAGCTATTAAACTGTCATCCTAGGGAACCTTACATGCATAGAACTAGTCTGGCTTTTGATATCAGATTGGCATGTTAGTTTGTGAAGGCAAGATGAGTTCAACAATGCTGGCAAGCAACTAAGGCTAGCAAAAGAAGCTCCAGCATCCTTCTCAAACCATACCACTTGAAAGCTGTGATGCAAAAATGAACATTGTTTATATCTTATAAAAAATCCACAGAAAAAAATGACTGCAGAATGCTCCTAATCATTGAAAAACTGCAAGATATGATTGTCAACCCGAGTCAAATGAATCAAAACCATCCATTTTAGTTGTCAAATGTCAGGCTAAGTTTAACGGATTTGATGTTCATTGATGAGCTGACAGAATTCAGAGATATGCTCACCGATTGTATTTTGTCTTAGAGCATGTCAAGCCAGAAATATAAACAGTGTGACGGAGGCTCAATCTTCCTAGTGACCTGAGATCAATTATTAATAAAGGGAGAGAAAAACACTTAAAATTCTATAATTTTTGGAGTTAAAAATATGATTGAGTTCTATAACATAACTAAACTCATTTTCTTACCAAGAGTGTGAAAAGTGTAGTTTTGCACAAATTGTTCCAGTTGTATCTTCAATTTTCAAAGAGAAAACAACCTCTGAAGTGTTTCTTTCCCGAAAAATGTCTCTAACCACACCATAGAGGCTTATGCCAGTCATCTTGTCAAGAAGGTTAACAATAAATGACTGAAAACTTTGAAATAAGTGAGAAATAGTACCTTAAAAGTGCAGCACAGAAATGGTAGTAGACCATAAATATGAACAGAACTGAAAAGGACAGTCACTGAAATTAATAGACCCCTGAGAATCAGGGGCAAGGTCACTTGAGAGAGTCTTGGACCCTGAGTAGGATCAACAGCACCGAGCAGCCTTGATCCTTGATATCGGTTTGATGTCAATGCTATAGATACCTGAGGTACAGTGTAGTTAGCTCTATATTTTAGATGGAAAGAGTTTTGATTTACAACAATGACTCACTTGTTCCTCGTGTTGGATGAAGGGAAATAAATATAACTGCATCGCACTTCCTTATTCAAGATAAAATTCATGGTCTGTTTCAATGTTGCTCCCTGCAATACTGGCAATATATGGCCTATCCAGTGCAAGCATACTTCCACCACTGCAAAGAAATTTCATTATAGACAAGGACATAAATACATGAAAAGGCAATATCAATACCCAGATCAAGAATTTACCTGAATAGATTGGCCAGGATTACCTGCTCATTCCACAAGAGAAAGTTTAGTTTCACACCATCATTATCAACAAGAGTGATTTGCCTCCTTTTTATATTGTCAATTTTTCCTTGAACTTCTAGTGATCCAATAGAATCAATCCTACATGAGAAGTTGAAATAGAGAAAAACAGTTAGACCTTCTAAATAGCTATTTACCTCTGTTGGCACTAACAGCATATAAAGAGAACTTGAATCAACCTTGCTAATAAGCAATTTCTACTGTTGCCATTGACTAATATGTTTATCCTTCATAAAATCTTATCATCACTACCCCGTTTTTGCTTCTCAAGAATCTAGAAATAACCCAAAATATTTGAAGTCTCTCTCTATAAACTTACCACAAATGCAATAAAATTTTTTACTTCTGAGGCTGATCTTGTGCATTCAATACCTCAAATTCTCATTCAAATGCTGGTGAACTGTGAACCATCAGACTGAAGGGCTGAACATAATCAAACTTAATTTTTTACAATTTGTGTCAAAAGGAAATGGAAATCATAGTTTAACTCAGATGAGGAATTAAATCAACGGTATCAACCATATTGATAGCACTACTTTTGGGATGATTTTCAATTGAAACTAAATACAAAGGATTTATGGAGAGAGAGAGTGTGCGTGTAGTTGTTACACCCAACCTGGCATACAATGAATAAGAAACATCATTGTTGACTGCATCAAGAGAAATGGAAGAGAAAGAATCTGAGAAGAACTGAGCTCCTATAAGTATTGCATCATCATACAGATCCTGCCAGATTATTGAAATGCCTTATTTTGACCTTGAAATTTCAAAGAAAAATATGATAGAAGCAACTCAGAGAGTTACCTCATCCAATAATATCACAAGATATTCTGTTGGCAGAAGGCATGGACTACCAGATCCTTCTCTGGCAGTCCGGAGATAGCAACCAGTGAGGAAAACCTCCCTCCCTTTCCTCAAATTTCCGTTGGGAGGATTCACGAAGTTGTAGTGTCTGAGAAAGAGAAGATTTGAGAAATTCATTACTAGCTTGACCTCAAAATTCAGAGTTCAAACATATATAGAAGTTGTAACCAAGCAACACATATCAAAACAATTTCAATGATTATCATGCATAGAAAAAACCTTGCATTACAAACTGATGACAAGCAACATAAACCATGAAAACAGCGATATATAGACAAAACTTGAATATCTAAAAGAGACAATACTCAAATAGATGTGATGACCATGGTGCTGCTTGTTCCAGGGTACTCTAATATCTTATACTAGAAATTAAAACAGAATCAAAAGTTTCTTACCTATGATGAAGATAAAGATCTATAGTATTGGAGCTCTAGTAGTCCCCCAAAGTACGCATGTAGATATTCGTACCTAAAGGAAAGAGGTATATTGACAATGAAAAACATTAAAAACCAAATTCAAGACAGATTTTTATGGAGGCATGTATGTGTCTAATGCTTTGAGCATCAGGTGATGTTACCATGAAAACTTCAAATAGGCAGCAATCCATTAGTTTTTTTCTAGGCTTTGGCATCATTGGTAACATATTTAAATAGTTCAGGCATTGTTTTTGTATGGTAAGAAAGTGCTTATATCTTTTGAATTTACAGGCAAGGAATCAATCAAGTATAACATAAATCACAGCAATGCAGTGCTCAGGAGGAGATACAACTCAAAGCCCTTGAGCATTCAGATTTTGTTGTATCTCTCTGTTTGACTGCAAAAGCATCTAGAAACCAGCTCATTTTATATTTTTTCATTTTCAAAAGAATGAGGAAAGAAATGCATATTTAGTGACCTCAGAGGCCATAAAGCCTTGACAGAATGTTCAATTTGATAATGTCTTCAGAATCAGAAAAAGAAACTGCAATATGATTTTTGTCCGTCAAATTATCCAGGACAAAAAAAGAGCATTCTGAATGATCTTAACATCAGTGAAAATAATAAAAAAGGAGCTCTAACTTTATAGCTACCTGGGAGAACAAAAGCCTCAACAACCACAGCTTCCAACACATTAGCTAGGGACAAGAAGTTCTTCTCGTTTATAGAGTCAATAGTGACTGAGTTTGGAAGCTTTGTTCTCTTATGCTTCTTTTTCAATTGATTTATACACTCTGGCCTTCTCTTAGGAGCACCTGCTCTATGTTGCTCATTCCATGCCTAAAATACAATAAACGTGTAGGTAAACCCATGCATACACATAAGAAACAAAAAAAATCAAAAAAAACATTGCATCAAGAGCTATAGTTCATAGAAAAAGAACAGTTATAAATAGCAACAGCAGAATCATCATCGCTTTAAGTCACAAAACATAATGCATAAAAAATCCACCAACAAAAATTAGCATAATAAGGTAGAAAAGCAACAGTGCACCATATATGAATATCTAAATTATCCTGAATTCCTAATTTTCTAGTGTCTTTGCTTCATTTCACATCGGATCGGAAAATGAAACAATCAACTCAAATTAGCATTTCATCATGAAAAAAATGAAAAATCAAATCAAATAGTGTTAAACGCAATCAATAAAATTCATGTATAATGAAATTAGAGAATCATAGCTCCTCTAATCACTCACTTCTTATCCGCATTTTCTGACGAACCAAACGGAGCACAATCGGAGACTAAAAGAGCAACATACGTGAGACACATCGGAGAGCAAAATAGCATAAGTTACTCCGCTGGAGTAAGCAACACAAGTCTTGAGGATCTGAGACGCGATCCAGCTCCACCCTGGCCTGCTCCGATCGTAACCTTCCTCGTCTCCTTCTCCTTCTTCCTCCTCCTCCGGCGATAGCATCGACCTCGCGTACTCTACAAACGCTAGAAACGGATCATCTTCGTGTTTTTGCCGTTCATCGCAATCGATTTCCATGGTCGATTACAAAGCTCTAGCTGCTGTGGCGGGATGTTTGAGTAAATCTGGGCCGGAAGGGTATTGGAGAGAGTGTACTGTCGTTTTATTGCAATTTGGCGCGGTTTTTCTTGGAAAAAAAATTTTCAGATTTTGCTATAAAGAGCAATGATACTGTATATGCCCGTAATCCTCGGCCCGACCCGTCACTGCGTTTCCCATTTTTAACAAAATAAAATCAGTTAATTAATATAGTATCACAATACCGTTTTGTATTCTGTCCTTTACAAACTACAAAATAATTAATTATTTATCTAATTTGTGCTTATTAAGATATAGTTTAAGGGTATAATTAATATATTTTTTAATATTTATAGATATAAAAAGTAATAAAAATTAATATTAATTTTATTATTAATGTTACATATATTATTTTAATTGAATGATTAAT